TCAGTGAGAATAGGGTGCTGGCCCCATATACTGAAGGTGGCAGGTTCAAACCCGGCCCTGGCCCAACTGCAACAAGAAATAACCGGGCGTTGTGGTAGGTGCCTATAGTCCCAGCTACTCAGGAGGCTGAGGCAAGAGAATCGCCTAAACCCAAGAGCTGGAGGTTGCTCTGAGCTGTGATGCTACGGCACTCTACTGAGGGCGACAGAGTGAGACTCTGTCAAAAAAAAAAAAATTTCTGTATGAATCTTGGAGGTATTCCCATGTTAAGAGGGTCCTTCCTGTCCCTTGTGGACAGCAGCCTTAGTCCAGCATGGGGCCCTGCATTCTAGGCTCACTTCCCTCTGGTCCAGTTGACCAGGGCAAGACCCTCTATTGTCTTTACCCTGTCCAGGAAGTTGCTCAGGGAAGATAGATAGAAGATGCCGGTGGCTTCACCCCGGTGGGTCTCTGGCAGTCCCTTATCCCTCCCTTCCCCCAGCAAAGCCCAGGCATGCTCTCCTCTGAGCACAAGCCTGGCTGGGAGCCTGCAGGAGCCCAGGTTTGGCTGGGCCTGTGACTAAGATCCCCAGCCCTGGCCCCAGCCTGACACGTGCAGCAGGTATGAGGATGAGGTGAGCATGAGGGTTGGCTATTGAGTGTAACAACATAGCACATATGGCAAAATTTTTTGTGACAAGCTGCCATCCATGTTTGTGAAAGCAGGGCTGGCAGGCCTGCCCAGGAGGGTGCAGCAGGTGTGAGGGGGTGTCCCAGGGTGGCAGGAGGGACAAGACTGGTAAGGGATGACACATGTCCTTTTTTTCCCTCCCTGGCTGCCACACAGAGCCTTACCAACAAGTTCCCAAAGAAGAAGCCGCTGCCCTCCATCTCCTCCAGGTCCACCACGTCCCGCCACTGCACCCCCTGGTATGACGAGCTCATGAACTTCCTGACGCAGCAGGCAGTCTCCCTGCTCATCTGCAAGTACAAGTTTGAGAACAGGCTCAATAAGCAACTGGGCCTCATCTCCTTCCCCATCGCTGAGACTCTCATGGACCTTGCCCTGGGCTTCAAGAAGGTGAAGGGTTCTCACATCCGCTTGTCCTCAAAGCTTGACTGGACCTGCCTTTTGCGCAAGCTTGAGGAGGCCGACAAGGCCCAGCACACCTCTTGCATCAGCGACAGGCGCAGCACAGAGACTGTTTCCTCGAAGTTCCCCTCCGCACGGTCCCCCTCTGCACGGTTCTCCTCCACACGGTTTTCCACGAAGCCCCCCTCCGCACAATTCTCCTCCACAAAGCCCCCCTCTGC